GCGAGAAGATTAGTCACTGCTATGATAATGAAATAGAAAATAAGAATCACTTTTTTTTCTGGACACGTAGATAATTGTTCTCTCTTTTATGTAACAACTTATTCAAAATTTGAATAAGTTGTTACATAAAAGAGAGAATAATTATCTACGTGTCCAGAAAAAAAAGTGATTGTTATTTTCTATTTCATTATCATAGTAGCACCTTAGAGGGTGGGATAGTTGGCCCCAAGATTTAACGTGGCTGCATACATAAGGCAAGATTTGAACCCTTGACCTTGCTTAAGCATGGATCAACTCCTACCGCTGAACCACGGTCTTAGAATTGAGAGTCTGGTGTATGAATTGGAAGATAAAGTTTACGAAAATATTTTTTTCTTGATTGAGATTTTAAATGGTAAAATAATTAATAATATAAAGATTGGCCTTATATATATATATATAGAATTCATTCTAAATTATTTTTATTTTTATTTTTATATTATTTGCTAATTTTTTTACCATTATTTTAAATTTTGACGAAATCAAGCTTTCTTATAAAAAATCATAATTTGTTTTGGAACACGTTATGTTTTATCGTAATATACAATGTTCTTATTTATATACATATAACTGTATATCGAAAAGAAAAAATGGCTCTGGTATAAAGAAGTAAAGTTTTTTATTTATTTTAATTAACACTTGAAAATTTATATAGAGTTTTATAGATCGATTCATAATACTTCAGTCACCCAAAAAAACTAAAGCATTTTTTTAAAATGTCACGTCAAATATAAATTTGTTTTGTGGTATGGAGCTCTTTTCCTCTATAATCCACTTTTTCAATATGGAACCTTGAAAAAACATACATTTTATTTTATTTTTAAAATGTGTATTTAATTATAGTGACATGATTCAACTATAATAAAAAAATAAATTTCTAATAACGTACGTCAACCTTTTCTTTTAGAAGATAACGTACGTCAACCTAAAATTTAAGGAATAATAAATGTATGGGACGCTTTCGAAAAAAATAAACCCAACTAATGAACATTAATTTATTTACGAGAGTTTATAGTGTTGATTTAGAGCCAAAGGCATGATTAGGTTTGGATGAAGGCACGACATGTGTCGAACACCCAACAATGGTATTGCAATATTAAGCAAACCATTGCACCAGGTTACAGATAGACTGAGCCAAAGCATGATATAGCACTTAAACTTGAAGTCTCAGATCACAATTGCGACTAAATAAGCTTCATTCTTCACTCAAATTCCCATGGTATTAAAGAGAAGCAAACCAATTGTGATCATATATATGTCAAAATATATTATGGTTGCCTGAAATTTGAATAAGTTGTTACATAAAAGAGAGAATAATTATCTACGTGTCCAGAAAAAAAAGTGATTGTTATTTTCTATTTCATTATCATAGTAGCACCTTAGAGGGTGGGATAGTTGGCCCCAAGATTTAACGTGGCTGCATACATAAGGCAAGATTTGAACCCTTGACCTTGCTTAAGCATGGATCAACTCCTACCGCTGAACCAGGAGGCCGAAATTGTAGAAACGGAAAAGGACATTTAAGATCCGTTATCTAGGAATCGATTTTGTATGTATATAACCGATCTTAAAAGTAGTAAAAAAAACATGATTTAAAATCAGTTACATTATCTCGGTTATATTTGAACCGATCTTAAAAGTTGTGCCAGACATACCTTTTAAGATCGGTCATATAATAACCGATTTTAAAAGTACTTTTAAAATCGGTTAAATTTTAACCGATTTTAAAAATGTTCATATTATTTACAAAATTGTCACCGCATCACTTTAAAGCTCCGATTTTAAATCTCATTTTTGCACTAGTGAATGTAATATTAAAATCATGTGAAAAATAAAAATAAAATGTTAGAGCATAATATAAAAAAAATAATTATTTGTCTACCCCTTCCACTCTTCTCTCTATGCCTCTAAATTCAATTTCAGGAATTGTTTTAAAAGATCTGATAACTAGTTAAAAGAAAATCATATATCAGGTTAAAATATTTATTATAAGTACAAAATATAATTTATATATTTAAATATGTTTTTATTATAAATTTAAATTATAATATAATTTTTATATTAAAATATTTATTTATTATTTAAATTTTAATTATACAAATTTTTTTATGTATAATACACAAACCAAAATATTAATTTATACATAAAACCACTGGTTCCAAAATTTAAAAATTCTGCAACTGCCCATGCTTCTCTTAGAATACATGAATGAATGTTGTCCCCCTCTCTCCGAGATGTTTTCTGATTTGGGGTTCTTAAAAGGTGTTTCCAAAACGTGGGAGTCTCAGATGCTTGTGTTGGATGGAATGTTAAACATGCAAACTTTATACTTTTTATTTTATTTCCTCAACGCTTTTGATGCCAAAACGAATAATGAGTGATAATAAATCAATATAATAATAAATAAAAAAACTATGCAAAAAATGTCAATTTCTATGTGTTAGAAGACGTCAAAAGACTATCTTCAGCATATCAAAACGATTCCATGCCAATATTTTAAAATAATCTCTTTTTGGTAAATAACCGGTAAAAAAGGGAAAAATCTAGGGTGCACCCAGTAAATACGTAGTGCATGGATGAACTACCTTAAAATATTATTGAAAAGGTGGTGAATTGAGTTATTACCCTCAGATTTATGAATACTTAATTCAATGGCTGATATCATTCATTAATAACAAAAATATTATTGGAGATTTCGTTGTGAGAGGTTATTATTTTTTTAATATAACTTTTTGGTCCATCTTGCTTCTGGTCTTCTCCAACATGGGCTTAGTGGGTATCTTTAGTTGAGTTCAAAAACTTCTCATGAATATATATATATATATATATAGTATTTATCATTAAAACAGTGATTAATCTTTAGTAAAGACTATATATATACTCACAGGTTATATAAATTAAATGGATAACACATTGTTTGAAAGAAAAAAAGAACACATATTTTCTCATATATGGATACAGTCTTTGAAGTTTAAAGGGCTTCAAATAACTCTTACATAAAATATTAAGAGAATGCTAGCGGAGTTACCCTACCCTCATGCAATGTGTAATAACTAACACATTTTTCATTATTACTATATCATGTTTTTTTCTGTAAACACTTCTAAAAAGAAAAAAATAGAAAGTAAAAATAAAATAATTTTTTTATAAGTTAAAATTAATTTGTTAAAACTCTTTTATATGAGTGTTAATTTGATTTTAACTTATATATGAATCAGTTTTAACTGATAAAAATATATATTTAATATTTAAAAAGATATATATATATATATATATATATATATTAGATAAGATTACATAATTCTCCTTCCCCCAGAACCACCTTGTCGTTGACAATTGAAATAGACAGCTGCAACTGGTAATCCAAGATTGTAAAACTCTGCAAAATCTCTAGTGATGAAATTTTGACGCCATCCTGGTGCAGGTATAGGTTGTCTACACGGTTGACGAAACAACACAAAAATTATACGATGAATCCCTGATGTTGGTTTTGGACTTTCATAGCTCACAACCTCTTCTCCTATATATCAAATCAAATACCATGCTTAATTTATATCAATTTTACTTGTGTTGGATTTTGGACTATTTTTAACATTCTATTTGCCGTTTCAAAGCAAAAAAGTTTTAAATCAATTTTGAAATCGGGTTTTAATCTTTTTTTTAATAAAAATAATGCATATTTTTAATTAACTAATTTTGGACTATTTTTATAATAGGTTTTGGTTTTTTAAAACTTGTTTTCAATTAATAAACCAAATTCAAAATCAGTTTTAAAATAACCCATTTTTCTCCATAAGCCAAATTAAAAAAAATCGATTTAGTTATAATGTTAAGGAGGATAGACTTATTTATTTTGAATAGCAAGTAGCGTGTATATAATAAAGTTATACCCATGCAAATAATTAATAAAAGGGTTACAGAGAAAGAAAAAAAAAGTTGTGTACGTACCAAAGGTTGCCCCTGTAGTCGCTGGAATATTGGTTACCAACCTAAGCATCCATTGAAGAAAAGAAGGAAAAAAAAAGGTTATAATATTTGACTTATTGTTATATATATATATATATATATTCATTAATTTTCATTTTTGTTCTTTATTTTTTTTAATCTAACAGTAATACTTATTAGAACTGTTAGATTAAATAAAATGAAAGAGTGAAGATGAAGAGTGAATTTATATATATGGATGCGTAATAAGTAAGGTGTTAATAAAGAGAGGAAAAAAAATTTAGACCATACAACGATATATGAATGATTAATATTAAATTACTAAGTCATCTGATTTATTTTAGGTGATAAAATAATGTGTGTATGTGTGTGAGTTGAATCATATCAAATTCAAGATTTTTTCCTAAAAACGTGGTTAACCTAAGCCCATTCCCTTTCCATGGTCATTTTCAAGAAGACATATTTCTGGAAGTTATCTAGCAATAAGTCAGAGGGAGGCACACGTTTCCATTTTCAGGCAACTAAATAAAAGAAGGATATTGCATGTAACTGGGAGAGGAAGCACAAAAATCAAAATGCATGTCTTTTAGTGTGTTTATGAAGGTATCGATCATTTGGCTTGTATTTTCTGTATTTAGATTCTGGAGTTACCGAATATTAGAGCATCAATTCGGTAATCCAAACTTAAAAATATTTTTTAGAGTTTCTAAATTAAAAATACTCTTTATTTTCACTAAAGAAACTTTCGAATGTACTTCTAATTTGTATCTAAGTAGATTATAATTTAATTAACATTTGAACATCCATGTATTTATATTTGGATAAGCTTATTTATTTTATTACTTATTTATTTTATCATTCTCTTTTTTGTGTTTCGAGATCTATTGCAAATTAACATTGAGTAGATTTTCATCAATGAGTTGTGAAAATTAACCATAAACACAACATCAAAAAGACTTTTGACTACTTGTTAAGTAATATGAGTAGGTTAAAATACGTGGAGAATGTCATCAATAAACAATAAATTAATCATATAAGTGAATTTGACATTATATCTGAACGCAAAATCTTAAGATTTCTAATTTATGATATAAAGTGTGTGTGTGATATAAGACTTTATATTCTAACTTGCATTCTAACAATATCTTATATGCAATTTGTATGATAGATTATTTGAATAGTTACAACCTTGATAATTTTTTTCCTCAATTTTATGTATAATTTTATTATTTTTTGAGAGCATGTGCATGTGCATTTCTTAATCATTCTATATGTGTAATATCTTAAACTATTTTTGAATCATTAGGTTGATCTAGTGGTTAGAATTTGGATAGTATGTATAAAGTCACAAATTTTAATTTTATTGCCACTAGTATACACCAATAAATTTTTTTTAATACTTCCTCCAATATCTTAAGAATGCAACATATATAGATATAGGTCATACAATCATATATGAATCATCAAGATTAAAAATTAAACATGACTACTTAAAAAAGTCATGTGTATCTATATTTTAATAACTCTTTAAATAAGATTTAATGATCTACCCTAATTATTTTTTTCTCGCACTAACCAAGAGTTTATATATAAAATATCTAGTGAGAAGAGTTCTCATTTTAAGGATGAGACTTAAAAATTTGGATCATACAATCATACATGGATAGTCGAGATTAAAACTTAATTAGTGACCAAAGATAATCCTTTAAAGGTCATGTTCATTAACCAAAGAGTTGGATACAAGTGGTTAATATGTTAAATTCAAGGTCGAATCATTCAGACAATGTCTGAGTTCGATCTTTGTCAAAAATAATCTTTGACTAGGTTTTACTTACTTCTCGATCAAAATAGATTAATCTAAAATAAAGTCTTAGAATACTGACACTAAACCAATAAAAAAGATCATGTGCATTTATCTTTTTAATCTTGACCATTCAAATATGATCTAATAAGTTACATTTATTGTTTTTACTTCTCACAATAGGCGAGAGTTCTCACCCAATACACACACAATATATTTAATAAGAACAAATTTTCATTTAAACATATATGAGAATGATAAATCGTAAATTATTAGTCATACAATTATACGTGAATGATTAAAATTAAAAGATAAGAGACACATATATAATCATTAAAAGACAGTCATATACATTTATTTTTTTAACTTTGACCACTCATATATAATCTAATAATTTATATTCATTGTTTTTGTATACTTTAACCCAATACACACAACATATTTAATAAGAAAAATTTTTCATTTAAACATATATGAGAATAGTAAATCATTAATATTGGTCATACAATTATACATGAATGATTAAAATTAAAAGATAATAGACACATGATCACTATAAAAAGACAATTATATATTTTTATTTTTTAACTTTGACCACTCAAATATGATCTAATAGTTTATATTCATTACTCTTATATACTTTTTATATAAATATATGTAGGATATGAATAAAGAAAAATTTTCCCTCAATTAGAGAAGTAACTTGATCCCTTACACACCACACACACATAGGAAGCATAAGAAGTGTTTATAATTAATGAAAGGGTGAGAAGAGTAGATCTCAACTATATAACCGTATACAAATGGTTATAATTTGAAGTTATTGACTAAATTAGATTTTTGAGCTCTCTAAATATGTTTTGGTCTCCTCAATTTTAATTTCACAATTCAAATTTTCGACGGGGGAAGGGGGTGGTTAAGACTATTTTTATTGTAATACACTGTTACACACTGTGATTTATTTGTCCTATCGTGAGTCAGCAGCACTCAGAAATGATCCAAAATTACTTAATGACTTCACTTATTAACTCGTTTATGACTTATATATCTTACACTATAGCTAGCTTATCCAAGCACGTACCAAGAGTCATCCGTAAGATATGAAACAAAAGTGCATGCTTATAATTACAAGAGTTAATCACTTATACACTATTCGTATAATTTTTTTTTACATTGACAATTAATTATATCTCTTAATTATGTCATGTTAATATTAAAAATAAATGTGTTAACAACTTACCAGTGTAGATATTCCCTCATATTTGGGTCACTTGGGCTTGGTGCATCAGGGTCCACCATGACCTACAACACATCAACCATCGCATAAACTCACCAAACAGCTAGAGATTTTTTTCTTCACCATCGAGTAAATTAAGAGCTTAAAAACTGGAAATTTATAAATTAACCGAATAAATTAAAAATGTTTGATAAAACTAATTCTTAAACTCGCTAATAAATGTAAATGACATAAAATAACATGTTTAATTATTTGAAATAAAAAGAGATTTGAAATAAATTAATTATGGTAAAAATGAAAGAAAAAAAAAGGTTAGTTAATATTATAAATCAGTTTATTTTCATATTTTCATAAATACTTTGAATAATTTACGAAAATAAGTTAGAAGCTATTAAATAATTCATGTATCAATCAGTCAAAATAGCTTATAAGCTAATTATATTAACCTTTTAAGTTTATATAATATATTGTCAAACACACTCTTTATGTATATTCCACTAAACCAAATTATTCATCCCCCATTTTTCATTTTTGAACAACCAAAATGAATATAATTAAACAATTAATACTTAAGCTCCATTACTTATATATAAGTAAATTATTTAAATTTATATGATATTGAAGAAAACTAATTATCAATATATATTTATTTTTTTCTAATATCAATTAATTATGTTTATATTATTCTTTGATTGTAATTTGATATCAAGAATAAATTAGCAAAAAGTTATTAAAAATAAAATCTCAATTAAATACAATATATTTTAGATATAATATGATTAAATAAAAAATAATAATTTATATTTATTTATATTTTAATCCATCATTGATGTTATTTTTCTTCTTTTATTCACTATAAGAAATATTATATACAATGACAATACAAAAATCTATTTAATATATAATTATAGACAACTTAAGTATTAATTTTGAATAAAATTTAACAACATATTTTGTGTTAATATAATCTACACTTATATTTTTTAACAATATACCAACATATAATATATGCATAATGTGATAAAAGTAATTTCTAGTAATAAATAATATGTTATTATAGAATATATGATACTTCATAAAATTTTTTTTTAATGATTTAAGTCCCAAAGAAGTAGTATATTTGAATTTGAAGAAATATATACCAGGGTGTAAAGGGTCCTGAGGTCATTTCCACCAACCTCGACTCTTGGAGGGTTGATTATTTGGGAGGGTTTGAGCTCAGCACTGTTCATGACATCTTTGTTATTGTTGTAGACAACTCTCATAGAGACAGAACTTGCAAAAGGCTCTAAAACATCTCCTATTACACGTCCAACAACAAGAGGGTTCATTGAGCTAGGCATGGTCAATATGCCTTTATTTTCTCTTGTTGGCTCTTATTAAAATCAGCCAAATGTCCATGCCTTTATATATGCTTTAGTTCTGTGTGAGTTTAGGGAAATGCTGTACTAACAAAATATTCTGATTTTTATCTTTTTCAACTTATTTTCTCTACACTACTAGAAAAGTGTCATTTTTTTGTAAATTTTTCTGCAAAAATATATTTGTAGAAAGTTTTTGCGAAATTTCCTGTAAAAAAATATTCGTAGAAAAATTTTGCCAATTTTCCTACAAAAAATAATTTACAGATATTTCTTACAAATTTTGCTACAATTTTAACATGGAAAAAAAATTTCCATGGTAAAAATTTGCAGAAAATATTGTAAGAATTTTATTTTGTTTCTTGCAGATTTTCTTGCAAAAATAAATTCGCAAGTAATGTTTACTAAATGGTAGAAAAATTTTGCAAGTAACTTTTCCTGCGGATTTTCCTACAAATTTTAATTTGCAAGAAAAATAAAAAATATATTTAAATTCAGAAGTTTAATATTTTAAAAAATCTTCAAGTCCCACATCGATTAAAAATAAAACAATTAAAGAGTATATAAGTTGAGACAACACTTACCTTACAAGTTGAATTATATGATTCAGTGTTAGGATTATAATCTATAATCTTAGAATTTAAAATATTATGTATGAGGCATGAAAATAAAAGTTTATGAATTCTTATAATATATAATTTATAGTAATTTTTTAAATTTTTTCGTAAAAAATATTCCTGCAGAATTTCTTGCAAAAAAATTCGCAGGAAAGTTTCCTGTGAATTTTTTTTGCAGAAAACTTTCCTGCGAATTTTCCTACGATTTTTTTTTGCAAGAAAATTTCCTGCAAATTTTTTTTTTTGCAAGAAACTTTCATGCAAATTTTTTCACAGGAAAATTTCCTGCAAATTTTAAAATTCACAAAAATATATTATTTACGAAGATATTACCTGTAAATAAAATTTTGTAAAAAAATTTATAGGAATAATGTTTCCTACAAATTTTTATGAAAAATTCACAAAAAAAATCACATAAAATAAGAGAAATTCTAGTTGTACTATAAGTCGGTGCATCGTTTTGGATGAAAAAAGCAAGAATATGAAATATATAGGAGAGTGTGAATGAAAAAGGAGCATCTTCGAAAATTACAAAAACTTTCTGAAAAGTTTTTTTTTTATTCCTTCGATGTATATGCTGTTAGGAAATTCACATTCCTGGTCTTAATCAAATGTGGGCATCACATATATTTAATGGAAAATTCTGTTAAATAAAAAAAAAAAAGATATCGTTCCAAATTATATACTTTCTCCCTCCAAAAATTAATTTTTTAAAAAATAATAAAAAGAAAATTATCAGAAACAATGCAACACAATAATTTTTAAAAGATTATTATTAAAAGTATAAATATAAAAAAATAATAAGGGATATTTAATTCTTTCATTTTTTAAATATTAAATTTTATTTTTATCATTAATTTGATATTTATTAATCATTAAATTTTATTTGATAATATGTCACCATTTTGAGTGATATGATATTTAATAATGTGACATATAAAAATAATTATTATAAATTTTTTATATTTATTTTAATAATGATGGATGGATTCTTATTTTATTAATAAATTTTATTTTTTTATTTTTTATTTTTTATCTATAATTGTTATGTCTTTAAATGTTATATCATTATTTAGCAATTTATCAAAAAAATTATTATTTAAGTATGAATTAACATTAAAATTTAACAATTAACAAATGTTAAATTAGTAGAAAAACTAAAATTTCATATTTTTAAAATTAATTTGAAAGACTAAATATTTTTATTTTAAAATAATATACCAAAATTGTAGATAAATAAAAATAGAAAGACCAAAAATATAATTTAATTTTACTATTATATTAATAAAACTAAAATAATACATACTTTAAGTCATTTTTTTTATTACATGATACATGTTATGGGGCAAATGGTAAATTAGAATATTTCGTGAATTAAATTGTTCAAATTTTAAACAACCAATAAAAACATGTACATGTGTATTCGTACAAATTTGTAAAGTAATTTTTTTGTACTAAATAGAAAAATTTGTTATTACAATTACATTATTTAATTTAATGAACTTAATTTTTAAGTGATTTCATTTGGTAAGCCCGTAAACTTTTACAAACCGACGTAGGTTTTGATGAGTGAATATTAGTTTTAATTGATAATACTTCATCTGAACTTATATATAAGTTAAAAAAATTAATTTTAAGTTAGTTAAATTCATTTAATTTAATATTTTTATATATATTTCTTAAAATTAACGTCTTTAATTATATCTATTATAAATAATGTTTTTATTTATTGACTTAGAGTTATTTTTAAAATAATAACGTTAAATATAGTTGAATTAGATAAAATTTATTAGTTATATATCTTTCGGTCCAAAAAAAAAATTAAGTACATTTTGTTATATAAAGTTTCTGATAAAGTAGGTATGGAATTAATTAGTTATTATTCCCATAAAACCAACATAGTTTCCTTTCTCTCTATATTGTGAAGAATATTATAGTCAAGGAATTAAGGCATGTTGAGGAAAACTATAAATCGCCCCTTTGTATATCTTGTCCTAGAGAACTTGCAGCACCAACCAATCAATTGTTACGAATTTAGGTATTTATCTAAAACTACAAATCCTATATATCTAAAACTACAAAAACATAATTTGGAAGGTTTGTATGGAAAGTTTTTCTTTTTTCTAATTCACACGTGTTTTAAAATTAACAATCGTGTTAAAAGTAATATAAAAGAAATTTGTTGAATATTACAGTTAATATTTATTATTGTATTTTAGTTCAACGACCATGTTTAGAATTATTCTGTGACAATTATATCTAAAATATGAAAAATCGTGTTCAAAATATAAAATCAAACACGTTATTTTGTGTTCAAAATATGAATTATCACTCTTTCTTTACATATAATTAAAATAATAAAGAATAACTAACTTATTAATTTTTTTTATAAGCAAAATAGAATTAATAAGAGTACAAAGAATACTCTAACTTATATACATAAAGTATTTTAAAAAAATAAATAAATAAAGTTAATACAATTCACATCAACCCAAAAACTCACAAATTGGATGACTTAATTAACTTATATTCAACAAACTTCTCATATCAGTTAACGGTCAATGTACAATATTTAAAAAGACAGGAGAATTAGACCAAGAAAAGAAATCATAATTGAAAGAAAAGAATCATAACTAACTTATCAATTAATTGATATAATTATTGTTCGGATGTAAATTCTAAATGTGACCTATATTATAAATTAAATCATTCTCTAATTTGTATAATAAGTAAAAACTAATACTTATTTAAAAGATAAATTATACCTTTAAAATAAATTTATATAATAATTTGTACATTATTATTATTATTATTACTATTATATATTATATATTATATATCTTTGTTATGTCATTTATTATATTTATTAATTATGAAAAATAAAAAAAAATTGTAAAAATTGATGTATAAATTATTATGCGTGAATTATAATTCAATAAAAAAAATATGGAAACCTTTTAAGTTTTTATTGAATAAACATAAAAGAAGAATAAGTGGTTTTAATTTGGCCGTTCTGTTGGTGCCAAGTTTTTGATTGCATGCATGCATAAATGTGTTAGGGGATAATTAATGTGTGATTTTTCATATTAACAATTTTTGTCGGTAACAACCAAGAACCATGTATTGTTGCGTGTTTTAGTCCACTACATTGGATGAAAAGATTCAAGATTGAAGAACAAAGGCCAAAAAGCTAAGAACAATAGTATGAATATAGAAATAAAAATCCAATTCATTTTTTTTAGAATAAAAGATGAGAAATAGTCAAATAAGGTGAATCTATTACATCTTTATCAACATATTGAAAGAATGAACGCTTTTGTAGTTTTATTTTCGTGGCCCGCACAAAATTGTTATATACTTTTTGCCACACTTTTTCACTACACACTTCCCATCCACGATATGCATGGGTGCCCCACATGCACTTATTCTTTTCAACAAATATCAATTTATGCTTTTCGCATCTCATTCATTTTTAACAAATACCAATTTTCATGTATCTTATCTTTACTTACAATATTATTATTATTATTAGAAGAAGAAGAAAAAAAAAAAAAGAACTTAAACTAATTAAATTCAAAATCAACAAATTTGATGAAAACGTAGAGACTAACTTTTTTTTATAAAAAAATACTTAAATTTGTTTTTAATTTTTAAATTTAAGGTAAATTTTTTTTGACCTACCAAATTTAAAATTATTTTTTTAATTCTTGCAAACACAAAAAATTGTGTTTTAATCCATTAAATCATCAATAATATGTCTAATAGTGGTAGATTGAGCTTAGTATAATATTTTCATTAGCAATAACATTAATAGGTGAATTTAGTATAATATGTAATGACCCGTCATAGTTGTCATCTTGAATGGAATCACTACCACTAAACATTAAAAATTAAACTAATAAAACATACAAGATTCTAGGAAGGAACGCACCATATATGTATATAGGGAGCATATCAAGTAAGAGAGAATTTATTATGAGAGATGAGAAGGTTAAAATATAACCCTTAGATTAATTTTCTCTCACTTGATTAAATCCCAAATTTTCTCTCACTTATTAATTGAGTCCTTTCGGCTAACTTTCCTTCGGTCTTCGAGAGTCTTCGAGTCTTATTTCCGACCTGGACAATTTTAGGGGTCTACACCCAACATGATAAAAGAGCCAAAAATATCATAACATCTGCATTGTCTATTGATGAATTTTTCAGAATTTCACAATGCTTATCTGCTAAAGTAATGTGGGACACTTTGCAAGTCACTCATGAAGGAACAAGTGATGTAAAGAGATCAAGAAAGCATACTCTCATTAGAGAATATGAGTTGTTTAGAATGCAAAATGGTGAATCTCTTTCTGATTTTCAAAAGAGATTTACACACTTGATAAATCACCTTGTTGACCTTGGCAGGAAATTTGAGAAGGAAGAGCTGAACTTAAAAGTGCTGCAATGCTTGGACAGATCATGGCAAGCAAAGGTGACAGCCATTGAAGAATCAAAAGATTTGACCTCATTGACATTAACTACTCTCTTTGGGAAGCTGAGAGAGCATGAGCAAAAGCTGCACATATTTGATGAACATGAGCAGCAAGATAAGAAAGG